ATTAGCAAAAAATAAACATATTCCTTCTATAGAAAAAATACTCAAGGCAAAAACACAAGATATCACTGCTCACATTTGAACTCTTCTCTTGAGATCCATTTGCAGTTCTTGAACTCTTAGTGTCTCTTTCAAGTTCCAAACCATCAGGACAACTACACATGTACTGAACTCCTTGGAGAAGCCTTGCCGTCCACTTATCACGATGAGTTTCTCCAGTTAGCATGTTAGATTGTGACAAAATTGTGTAGTATACAGTGGTAGTACTCGTACAGCTTCCAGGCGTTTCAGCTTTCAGCTTTTGATCAGACTTGGTAGTTCCATCATCATTCCTCTTAACATCAAAAGGTGAAATGTTCTTTTTTCTGAGAATTCTTTGTCTTCAACTGCTCTTCCTGATCAACAACTGCAGCAGCAGCATCAATCTCAATGTCAGGGAGCTCTCCCAGTCATGATAAAGTTTTCTGAACAAGAAGATCAATCTCATGCTGTTTATTATCCTCATAATCTTTATCAGTTAGATTCCAAAGCTTTTGTTCCACTGTGTCATAAACTTTCTGCACAATAAAACCTGGATGATGTTTACGATTTGGAATTTGCTTTTGTATGGGAACAAAGTGCACCACACACTTGTGCATCACGGATTCTGCAGGATCCTCATCATGGTGGAAGCTATAGAAAAGCTCTCTTGTATCATGTAACGGCCAGTTTCCACCACCTTTACTCTCAACCTCTTCAGGGCGATAAAACCACTGCCCAGAAACCAATCCCATCTTTAGTCTGACTAATGTCCTATCAATAGATAAAAGCTCCATTATTTGCAAAGGAACGTGACTAAAAAGTCATGGAAATAAAGAAATTGTATACAACGCAATCCAAGTATCTTAATGATAGCCAACACTAAAAATGTCCCATCTTCAGGAACTAGAAGAACTGGATCCTCCTGTAAACCAACACTAATAAACATAAATAATGACACAAAGATCAAAAGGTGTAAATCAGAAAAATGGACCATGTGTGGAAACAATAATTAATACCAAGTTACCAAATACTAGCTGAAAACAAAATAAAACAGAATGCCACAAAAATTTACCGCATGAATGTTCATTAACTACTCAAAGCAGCTCCAAATACAAAGTTGTTCATATCATTACAAACTACCAGCATACAAAAAGACCACATGATTTCCTGCCCTACTACCACAATGACACAACGCAAATCCACCAAAAACACAACAAAATGAATATAATCCGTTAACTCTTGAGAAGGCACGGAAAGTATTATCCCTCTTCATAAACAAAGATAAATACCAAACCCTTCTCTTGAACCCTTCAAGATTTAAAAATGGAACCTTGAGCAAGCATGAAAAATGCATGCATTAAAAACATTAAAAACTCCTGACCTATGAAACTAATTGTCCAACAGCCAGTAAATCAGACCAAAATTCATATTACAAACAAAACATTAAAATCCTAAAACCCACAAAAGCTAGTAAACAACTAAGCACCAAAACCACAAGCCTAAGAAAAGACATCACTACATTCATAATTCAAACGCTTACAAGCTATTCCGGCAAACAAAAATCTAAACAACCCTAAATGTAAATAAGAACTAACGAGATCATATCGATGGCCATCAATCTCAAAGCTTTCATAATGGCTCCTCCTTCCTCTCCCTTTCCCGGAAACCCTAACAACCTCCCCTATCGGTTTGGCATCCTCCAGAATTCCCTCATCCACCGGATCTTCTTCTTCTTCTTCCTCTGGGTCTCCTTCCTCCTTGTCCTCTTCTCGCTTCTTATTACTCTCTTCCTTCTCATCAATAACATCTCTTCATAGTCGTCTTCTTGTAACTTCATTTACTTTCTCTTCCTTTGATGCCCATTATCTTCGGACTGGGTCCGCTAGCGAGTCATCGGTACTTCATCATCGTCATCGCTAGTGGACACCTGAGCAACCCTTCGGTTCCCCGTTTGGAAACAAGGCAGGTGGCTTCTGCCGGTATTCCTTTAAGCGGGATTTTCTTTCTTCGACTATGTTTCAAGTGGTTTTTAAAATATTATTGGCGGGAAATTTTAGAATTGAGGAGACTGAAGAGACGCCCGCCGCCGCGCCTCGCCAAACTGTGTGCGTGTTTTTTATGGAAGTATAAATAATCACGGGTTAATTATAACCGTTATGTCATTCCCACTTGTTTTCGATTCTTCACATCCAAATATAGGTTAGGAATGTGATTCCAGTCATAAATTTTATTTATGAATATTTAATTTATTTTTTGGGTTAACTACATGATTGATCACTTTTGTTTATGTTTTATATACTTTTCTTTACTAATTTTTAAAAACCATAATTCGTGGTCACTTACGTTATTTTTTATTAAGTTTTAGTCATTGAGACGTTAAATGGTGTTAAGGTTAATGACATGGCCCATTAGTAAAATAGTTTAATTTTTATTTTATTCCTTGAACTTTATATAAAATATTAATTATGAACCTTTTTGTAAATTTAATGTAGTTTGGGGATAAATTGTTAATTTACCTTTTTTTTTTAATGTTTCATCTTTGCCAAACCTCTATCTCCCCCGACTTCTGGCTTCCTCTACTCTTTCGCCTATCAAAGCCTCCGAAGTTTCATATCATCTAGTTTGATATTGTCCTCTAGAGCTAAAAAATCCTCCAACTTGATACAATTATTTGTCATGACCATCGATAGACTCATGTGATCTATTAGAACTAAATATAATATATGACATATAGCCCTCGAATCATAATAACACCTCAAATTTCATAATCAACACATGGAGGTTGGCCGAAAGGTTTATGGACTTAGGTGAGTTGGTAAATGGAATCGATGGGTTGAATGTGGGTCTAATTGGTCATAAAAAAAAGATTTTTTATTAGAATGTAAATAAGGAATGATCAAAAGATTATTGTTGAAAAATTGTTAATTTCTTAGGATTTTATTGGAGAATAAGTTTCAACTTTAGAATCTGTTGGGGATCAATCTGAGCTCCATATCTTGATTATAAAAAGAGTAGAGCTTGAAGTATTCAAATGCATAAAGGAAAGAGAAAGTGAGTGGCAGCTAAGTAAAAGAATTTTATTTCGAGATTCTAATAGTAATTTAGTGTATTTATAATCATTTATGATATCATAGCATTTGATAAATGTTACATTATATGTGGTTTAACATTTAATTTTCTTTTGAGTGTTATGCATGATTTATGGCTTAGATGATAAAATAGTTTTATGGTTCTATATGAGCCTTTGCAACTCCCTTAAGTTTTAGAAATCGATTTGGGTTAAATTAAAGTGATTGTGAGGGTTTTAGAGTGATTTTCGAGTTTATAAATAATTATTTTTGGGTTTATCGATACATAGAGAATAATTTTGACATCGTATCAACTGGTGATAAAATAATTTGAGTAAAAATACCGTATGAATTTAAAAATTTCCCTTTTTAAAATTTGAGTAAAAAAAAGTAAAAGTATCATTGGTCTGTTTATATATTCTTTTTTAACCGGGTTTGAAATGGTTAAAAAATCATTTAAAATAGATGTTAAAATGAATATTTACAGTGACGGGGTACAAAACAAGTCAATTCGTATGAAATTCTACGTTATTCCCTTTGCACGTTAATGAAGAGAATGAAATTCAGATTGAGTAGATTTTTTTCTATGCAATTTTTAATAAAAATTTATTTTATCCCTAAAAATAAAGATTAGAGATAAAAAAAATTAAAAGTAAATTGATTAAACTCTAAATGATGTAAATCTTTTTACAATCTTTTTTTATATAGTAATAATTTTTATGCTATTGTTTTTTTTCCAAAATATTTTTTTCACATTAAATTTTAATATTTTTTTAATATTTTTTAAAAAATCTCTTAATCATTTGATATTAAATGTTCATATCTCTTCAAATATGGTGTTCAAATCCAGAATCTCAAGAAATAACAATAATTCTTTAATTATTGAGATCGTTTGGTTCATGCAATGTTATGTCAACGCTTAGTGAGTGAATCAATCGCGAGTAGGGCAGTACTCGACTCGTGCTCATTAAAAAATTGTGTTGCTTGACCCGACTCATTGCTTGTTCCGACTCATTGCTTGTTAAGCTCGTTACAATTTTACTCGACTCGTGCTTGTTAAAAAATTATTACTCAACTCGTTGCTCGTTAAGCTCAATATAATTTTTGGGTAAGATAATTAGGGTTTGATTTTTTGTTGTAGTAAATTAATAATTATTAATTAATAATCTAATTTTTTATTGTTTATTAAAAATTAATATATTAATAAATTAATAGTAAGTATTAATTGATAATTTAATATCTTTCTTATTATCTATTAATAAATTAGTAATTATTATATAGACTTTTTTAATACAATAATTTTTAAGGTAATTATTAAAAAATATTAAAAATTAACGAACTTATCGAGTTGAGTAGGATTTTACTCGATTCAACTCGTTAAGATCTCGAGTCGAGTTCAAATTGAATCAACTCAAGTCAAAAATTGATCGAATTTTAATTAAATCAACTATAAACAACTCATGAACTACTCAACTCATTAATCACCTCTAGTCATAATTTAATAATATTATATGAAATTTACGAATAATGTGGTACGTTCATTGTGTTGATTGTAGTTTAGTTCAAATAATTTAACTATCCGTGGAGTACTTTTACCTAGAGAAAACTGAAACACGAATCTTTATAAACACTATTTTCTCCCCCTTTCAAGAGCTTCAAATAATACTAAAAAAGCGATAACTTCGTTTATTTGTTCATTATGTACACAAACAGTAAACTAATTGCAAAAGCTTCTTCCTTTACTCATTTCCTCTGGCTTTTGAACTTCATAGCTACCTCGAAAAGCTCTTTTTAGTTCTTAGCTATTGAAGCTTTTTCCTTTTTGATTAAAAAAAATGTTTGCATTTAGCTCTGGGTTGTTTCTGGTATAGGAAACAGGAGCAGCAGTGAAGCAAAGCCTTCTAGATTTCGCTGGTTGGGCTTAAAAGAATCATGAACTTGAACTCTAGCACTTGTTCTTGTTCATACTTTGTTTGGAATATTCCACATCCAAATATATTTCTAGATATTTCCAGCAGAGTTGGAATGGTTTTGCATCTGATCTAATTGTTAGTGGATACCCACACACACACATATAATTTCGTCTTTGACATGGGTACTGGAGTTCAAAATCAAGAGAGTGTGCCAAAGAACCTGAAGAAACAGCTTGCTCTTGCTGTGAGGAACATCCAATGGAGTTATGCAATTTTCTGGTCCATTTCAACTAGACAGCCAGGGTACAAAATGCTCCATTTTTGCCCCATCCATTCTCTAAAGCTGAACCTTCTTCTAACTAGTTATAATTACTACTACAAATCTGGTATTCTGTTAATGCATTTTTTCTGGTTTGCTGTTTTTAGGGTCTTGGAATGGGGTGATGGTTATTACAATGGAGATATAAAGACGAGGAAAACAGTTCAGGCTGTAGAGCTCAACGCTGACCAACTGGATTTGCAGAGAAGTGAGCAACTGAAAGAACTTTATGAGTTCCTCTCGTCTGGTCAAACTAGTCCTCAGGCTAGAAGACCTTCAGCAGCATTATCTCCTGAAGATCTCACAGATACTGAGTGGTATTACTTAGTTTGTATGTCATTTGTATTCAACATTGACCAAGGGTAATCTCTCTTCCTTGTTCTGTGTTTTCAGCTCCTTCAAACTAAAATAAAATCTATGTTTCTGATTGTTAATGGTTCTTCTAAATTGTTGTTAGATTGCCGGGAAGAACATTGTCTAGTGGTCAACCTGTTTGGCTTTGTAATGCTCATTGTGCAGAGAGTAAAGTGTTCAGTCGTTCATTGCTTGCAAAGGTATGTGCTGTGCTTGTTTTACTTATGATTAACTTAAAATGGTCATAAATGAGAGTTTGGTTTTTTTTCTCATGGCTGGAAATTTTGGCAACCGTCTCTCTCAGAGTGCATCTATTCAGGTATTCATCCAGTTTCTTTCTACTCCTGATTTTTTTGTCATTTTCAATGAATCTACATGAAAAAGGTCCCATGTATACAGAACCTTCAATATTGTGTTGACTTATGGGCATAGGTTTCAAGCGGATCACCTTGTAGTGAATGTAGAATCTGGATGCTTCATGTTTATACATGGAAAACCATCTTGGAAGGTCTAGTATTGTTACATTTATGTAAATATTTCTTATTGAAATCCTTGCACTTGTCTTGATTTCAGACCGTAGTATGCTTTCCATTTTCAGGAGGTGTGATTGAGCTTGGTGTAACTGATTTGGTAATTCTTCTGCCATGCTTTTCTTTGTTTATTTTCGTTGAGGAACTTTCTTTCAGTGCAGTTATTCCTATATATTGTTGATTGTTATTCTACAGGTATTGGAAGACTTCAGCCTCGTTCTGTGGATTAAAACTTTGTTCTTGGATTCTCCACAGCCAATTGTCTCTAATAAACCGATTCCTGTTTCTGGAAATAAGAATGATCTTGTGTGTCCATCTCTTGATCCTCTGATCATTGACACCGAACTGAGTCCAATATTAGGATGTGAACATCTAGAAACGGCTTCTCCCGATGTTAGTCCGGATGGCTTGGAGCCTAACCAACCAGGAGAATATTCTTTCTTGGTTCAAGGGATAGATGGCGGAGCTTCTCAAGTACAAAGTTGGCAATTCATGGATGTGGAGTTCAGCAATTATGCACACCATTCATTGAATTCCAGCGACTGCATTTCTCAAACTTTTGTGGATCATCGAAGCATCATTCCTCTTGGCCAGGAAGAAAAAGATAATGGCAATGGTTTGCAAGATGTTGATGAGTGCAATCAGACAAAACTGTCATCTTTTGGTCTTCAAAATGATGATCTTCACTTTCATGCAGTTCTTTCGGTCATATTGAAGGGCTCACACCCCTTGATTTTAGGACCACAGTTTCAAAACTCTAACAAGGAATCCAGCTTTTTCAGCTGGCTGAAAAATGGCTTGGTGAAGCCTCAGAAAGCAAGGGATGGAACCCCTCAAAAGTTATTAAAGATGATATTGTTCTCTGTTCCTCATATGCATGATAGAAGATTGCCTGAATCTCCTGAAGCTAATGGTTTTACAGATGCAGTTTGGAGACCAGAGGCTGATGATATTTGCGGAAACCATGCATTGCCAGAGAGGAAGCGGAGGGAAAAAATAAACGATAGGCTTATGATTCTCAAATCAATTGTCCCTGCAAATAGCAAGGTATCTAAATTTCCATTCCCCTTGGTTATTCATAATATGAACATTACTAATCAACCTGCTTTCTTCAAACTTCATGCAGGCTGATAAGGTCTCTATACTAGACAGTACAATAGACTACCTACAAGACCTTGAGAGAAGGGTTGCAGAGTTGGAATCCTGCAGAGAGTTAACCGAGTTAGAGACAAGAACAAAAAGAAAACCTCTGGATCACGTTGAACGGACATCTGATAACTATGGCAATAACAAAACCACCAACGTAAAGAAATCATCCTTCAGTAAAAGGAAAACCCGTGACGCTGATGAAGTAGACGAGGAGATTGACCATGTTGCATCTAAAGATGGTTCAACTGATAATATTACTGTCAGTATGAACAAAAACGACTTTCTAATTGTGCTCAAATGTCCATGGAGGGAAGGAGTTTTGCTTGAGATAATGGATGCACTAAGCATTCTCAGCTTGGATTGCCACTCAGTTCAGTCGTTTACCAATGGGGGGCTTCTGTCCCTGACTATAAAATCCAAGGTAGTGATTCGGAACATTCGCAAACATTTCAAGTCGAACTTTTGTTGATGAACATTATGAACAATTGAGTCTAAACAAAAGTACATGTGGTCATTGCAGTTCAAAGGATCAAGTGTTGCAGAAGCAGGAACAATCAAGCAAGCATTGCAAAGAATTGCTTGGAAGTATTGAAGCTTATCACTCAACCATAGAGCTATTGGTTCTAGATTTCCCTGCTTGTTCTGTAAAATCTTATGTGCCATAAGCAACAAGGTTCAACTTGACCAATGACTTCAATATTTCACCATCTATAACATTCGGATATCAACTTTTCCTTGCAAATGTGAGAGAAAAAGGGCTGAGTCTATCATCTTACCTTGCTTTTTGAAGGTTTTGATGAGTTTTAAAGTTGTTTCTCGTTTCCAACGACTCAACTTTTCCACCGAAAACATTGTTTACATTTGCTCTGTGAGTGCCCAGATTTGGTGGGGGCAGCTCCAAACACAACATATCAAGCCAAAGCATCCTAAATTCTGCACCTGACACGAGCTTGATTACCATCAGATTATATTTCCACTTGAAGCTTCAATTGCCTTGGATAACACATAATAGCTGGAAATTATTAAATTGAAAATCCAACTTATTTTGCATTAATAATAATAACACAAAACTACAATAATTGTATAGATTGCTTTACATTGCAGTGAAGTGTGGGGCCTTGAAATGAAGGCATTTGTAGTGTAGTTGATAATGGTTATTGCCATGAGCACTTGCCCCATCATTCTCACCGCACCCTTCTTATATCTAATCACTTGGTTTAGCAGTAATTCAATCTTAATCACCCATATAATGTTTGTGTTTCCCTCAAATAAGAAATAATTTAGGTACTTTTATGAATTTTTTTTGAATATTTTAAATATTTATTATGACTAAAAATATTTTAGGTATTTATTTTAATCAAAAAGATAAATTTAAATACTTACTTTGATTAAAAAATAATATACTTTATGTACTTATTTATCATGTAAATCTTATTTTAATAATAAAATCCCTGATTAATACAAAGAGAAAATAACTATTAGTATTAGAGCCTAATCTAATTAAGGTGAACAAAATTTGGCTCGAAAACTCGATATTTTGACTTACTTGTAATTTTATAAACTCGATTCGACTCAATTATATTATTTTAAGTCGAATTATAAAATAAAACTCGAATAATAACTCAATTTTTTTAATAATAAGTAGATTAATTTTCAAGTTTGAGTCAAGTTACTCAATTATGTATGATATATATATTACATAAAAAAATATAAGTAAATATATATGTAGAAACTCGAACAACTCGACTCGACTTGAATTTTATAAATTCGATTAGAAAAAAAATCAAATAAAATTTGAGTTATAAAATAAGACTTGTTAACTTGAATAACTCAAACTTTTCTAACTCTATCAAACGATCACAACTAACTCTAATCACACGGTTTTTCTCTAAATCTACTTAAATTATGGAAAATATAATAAAATGAAATTACCCTAATTACAGTCATAGTAACACACAGAGTAGTTAACTTGGTTTTACATAAGAGCTTCAAATTCATTGGTGGAAATAAAAATAAAAAATCATCCCAGAATTGTAAAAATCTAAATGAACATGTGTGAGGAAATTACGAGGATTGTTTTGCCAAATCCAGCAAGAATAGTAGTGTATGCTTATAGGACCCAAAATCCATATGTAGGGCTGCAAGCCTTAGATATTAAGGTTTAACAGAAGTGGTACAGATTTATTTGTAGAATTAGTCAAGTACAACAACTGGATCTTACTGCACACATTGTCCAAAGATTTAATATTTTAATTCTACTTGTGTTTTCCAGCTTCTGCATTATCTAGTCTAACAATCCCCAGCTGACTAAATCATAGGCTGTATCGAAATCAAGGTAATGAATAAGTGATTGCCGAGTCACTCAATTCAAGTGCAGGCGTGTCCTTATATGCTTTTTTTTTACTATATCAACAAAAAATTTGAACTCCTATGACCAACCTGCGCCCACTTGATTCTCGACTTTTGAAGCTAACATCTTTTCTTTATTTCAATAAAGCTTTCATAATTAGATGTAATGATGGATTCATAAGTTAGAACACAATACTAAAGACGCAGCTTAGGACTGAATCAACTTCTGATTATATCTATCTTATTAGCACTGGAATGGAGGTGTCTTTCGTATTAGCCTATCCTTCACCGCTTTTTTCACTGACCTTTAGTACTCCTCAAATTGCCACTAATCCCTCTACTTAATGACAAGGCCATCCGATGCTCATCAAAAAGGATTTGAGCAGAAGTTTGATATTTATTTACTTCTTCTCTCATTTGAGTCCACTTTTCCATTAATAATATTATTGCTTTAGTTTCAGTCAAGTATATTTTTTTTTGTTTCACAAATTTTGATGAATGTTGGTTTGAGGGAGAAACTTTACAGTATGTTGGTTTCAGTCATATCTAATATGAACACTTATTAAAGGAAAGTTCTATACTAATTGTTTGATTTCCTTAGATAGGGGAATTTTGTATGATTTGACACATCTTAGTCGTTGATGTAAATCTATCAAAACCATCCATTATATGAGAACTCAATTATAAATAGAGACTTCTCACATCATTTTATACTCATTATATCACGTCTTTACCTCAGAGTAATAAAAGAAGCATTTAGTCTGATTCTCTTTTATTACTTTGTTCTTTGTTTTGTTGCCTCTCTTGATGTTTATAGTAACACCATGTATATTTACGTTTCTACATTATTCTTAAGTCTAAAGAGCTTGTTCGTTGTTTTGGTGAGCTTTAAGTTATCGCAAGGTGATTTTGTAGGCTTACTTAGGCAATCGATTCAAACTTAATAGTATAAGGGCGCACAGATCAACTAGTAGAAACTCTAGCCCTATGTCACTATGCTTAGATTAGATGAATTGACCAAAAATACCAATTTATGCCTTAATATGCATCATTATGTCCTAAATGATCTATAGTGTAAATTCTTGAATACAAGCATGTTAAAATGTTGTTTTTATTGATGCAAAGCATGAAATGTATATTTAACATGTTGTTCTTGATGTATAAACTATGCCTTTGTATGTTCTTTAACAGTAGATATCATTAGTAGTTGATATTGGCAGAACTCAATAGTATTTTTTAGATGGCATTTAAAAAAATGGTATGTATTAATTAAAATATTTTAGTACTTTTTCAATGTAAATTATATATTAAAATATTATACTAATAAAAGAAAATTTTATAAATCCTTAAAACACAATTATTCACATAATTTTTTTTAAATAAAATATATCTAGAATAGTGTTATCTAGAATTGTGTCTAAATTTTTATTTTTAGAGATAAAGATTCATGAACTCATGTAATAAATAGTAATATGAAATAAAACCATAAATATAAATTACATCAAAAAATTATTTTAAAAAATACCAAAAACTGAAATGAAGTTAAGAGTTGAATATTTTATAAGTTGATTAAAGTCCTCAAGTCAAAGAAGATGAACAACACAAAGAAGAAGAAGAACCAAACACAAAAAACACAACAACAAAAATTGTATCTTAAATGAAAAAAGGATTTTCATTCATTTAAAACAACTTAGTAATATAAAAAATAGATGTTAACTCTTTTTTTAAATTAATCACCGGTATCCGATCTTTTGACCGATTAATCTAAATCGGGTACTACATAGGCGAGGACGACTCTCCCAACACAGTTTGCTCCATTCGCAAACACCAGGATTCGAACCCCTGACCTTACTTAAGGGACCTAGTGCCCCATCCCACCAAACCAAATTTAATAAATGATATTTATTATACATGTTTATTAAGGAACCAAATTTAATAATTTAATATATATATTTTACTTTTTAAATGATATTTAGATAGTTTCCAAATTTTAAATTAATATACACAAGTTTGGACATTCAAATTTAATAATTTTAGACATTCGTATTTAATAATTATTATACATGTTTATTAAGGAATCAAATTTAATAATTTAATATATATTATTTACTTTTTAAATATTCTTGGGAGACATGGCCTCCGCTTGTCCCTTAAAGGTTCAGTGGCTGGTAGTTGATAAAATAACCCATTAATTAATAAGGTCCTAGTCTGAAGATGCAAGATCCTATAGAAAGGATCAATCCTTGATGAAATTTATACGAAAGATCGATCCTTTAGGGTTAAAGGAATTAAATATATGGAATTAGGAAAACTATGGTGCTTCTTAGCATAAAGGTTAGTAAAAGATTGAAATCCTTAAAATCTGGAACTGAAGGAAGAGTTAAAACCCATTACCCAAACCAGGTATATTTCTTATCAATTATCAGAAATCCAATAGTGAGTTGATGACTGTTGAACTTTTTTTAGAAGATTCACCATCTTTAGACTTAAACGTCTGAGGATAGTTGGAAAAATCAAACAGTAGGAAAGGCCAAGGAATCTTTGCCTTTATGTTCAGTGATGGCTGAAGAAGAAAAAATGAGCTTTCTTTTTCAATCTTTCCCCCTCCCATAGTCCCATGCGCACATGTTCGTCAACAAATTGCAAGTCAAGCAACTCAACACTGGTAGTTGTAGTGCGCCATGGACCCCGACCGCTGTGTTGTCCATCACATCTCTACTTTAAGTTTCCATCCCAAGGGATAAATGACACGAAAAACTATAGGAATGATAGAGACATCTTGTGGTAAACTGACCTTCAAGGCTCTTTTACACCTCCATAGCTGATGCTTGCAAAATCAAAATCAGCATTTATAGGCCACCACGTCTTTTTTCTTTGAATAGCTTCACTTTCTGGTTTACAGATGTTAATTTTAGATAGCTCGGGAAAATTCATGGCCATAAGAAGCTTTATAGGTTATTTTAATTCACATAATAACAAGCTGGTTTATTACATATATACTGTTCATACCTTACTAGCTAATACATATTTTGTTAGGGCTTGCAGTATTAATATATATATTTTGGAAGATGGTAGTTTTAGGGGTTCATTCTTTTGTGATAAGATGAAAAGTTGTTATTCGTGGTCTTAAGACACCAAAAAAATGTAAAAAAAAATGATGAATAGTGGGTGTGACCTTGTGAGGTCTTTTATCCTTCTTTCAATTTTGTTTGTACGAGTATATACATATGTCCTTAACATCAGATAGTAGGGTGATTAATGTTAGTCTTAGAATTGATGGTTATTGACGATTTGATCGGTAGATAAATTCAATTTGTTAGATAATAGATATAACTGATGATGAAATTGACAATAATCATGTCAAAAGACTGTAACTAATGAATCATGAAATATCTTGGAGAAAACTTGGGAAGTTTTAACCCATCATATAGAAGACTGAGTAGAAGTATGTGGAGGTACAACAAACATATATAAACAATGCTAGATAGTTGTCTTTGCCATTACAGATAAGTAGACTTAAGAGTTATATAGCCTGACAATTTGATAAATTTGGACAAGCTTCCACTCTCGATAGAACGAATGTTGGTTCATTCAAATAAACGCACTGAATAATACAAGTCTTGAACTCTTCCTTAAAGATACAAACAACCCAAAGAAAAACACTTGAAGAAATAAAAGTAGTACACAATTTTTCACTATCAATCCACAAGGAAACAAACGCTACAACGAGGGAAACAAGCAGTTACCATTTCGAACTGGAAAATTAATGACAACTTCAAAACAACAAGAAGAGAAAGAGAAGGAATTTGAAAGAGTGATTAGGGACATTGGAAGCCGGACGGAACTTTCTTTGAGCAGACGTTGAGAAGCAAGCTGAGGGAAACTGGGATATTAAGGTTGATGCCCAAAACGTTGGCTTTGATTGCTGTGCAAAGACAAGCGGCAGCGTCAAGATCAGCAAGGCCCTGGATAAGGTTGCAACATGGCTGCACCGGTGGTGAACCAACGGTGGCATTGACCAAACCAAGCACTTCGGCACATACGCCTAATTTAAGGGCATCTCTGGGACATTTGCCTATTGCAGGAGATGGGGAGGGAGTGGGCTTTGGTTTTGGTTTGGGGTTGGGAGAAGGGCAAGAACCACAAGCACTGACTAGAGAGAAGAAGAGAATGTTGAGAGCAAAAAAGAGGGCTTGAGATGCTGATCTCTTTGAACCCATCTCTCTCTAACCTTATAGCTTCTTCACTGAAGTACAAATTTATAGAGTTTATGGTTCAAGGATGGAGAAATTGGAGTGGAGGTAGGGGGGTTTTTATAGGAAAGTTATACTGTAAGATAATTTAATTTAAGGTTAAAATATAATAAAAATTTGCATAATAAAAATATTATATATTTTTTTTAAAAAATTAATTAAACTTTAAATATTATAAAAAATCATATTTTTTGTTTATCAACTGAAAATAGTAGAAAGAAGATAATATTTTTTATAAAAAATAATATTCTAAATTACGTTGAATTTAAAATATTAAAAAAATATTTTTATTATATCTATTTCGGGCGATTTTCCCGAAAAATCACCCTAGCCCTCTTTATTTCCCTATCAGGCATCGTTCAAACTATATTTTCTGATTTAACATCCTTTGCAGAAAGACTCGCCCCTTGCACCGTGCTTTACGCCACGTGGGGTAAGACGCACCCCTGCAACGCGCCTTGTTAAATGTGTAAAAAAATCGGGTGCTAATTTTATAAATATTTTTTAAACTGATGTCTAATATGTAATTAATTTCTGTTATGGTGATATTTGTGTAAAAACGTTAACTTTATCTATTTATTTTTTTGATATTATTTTTAACAACATTCAATAATGTTTATTAACTTTTAAAATTAATTGTTTAAAAATATTAAAATTTTAAAATAAATTTTTAATTAGAGAGATCAAATGAATTATTGTTCATTTTTTTAAAATAAATAAAAATGAATAAAATTCAATAAAAATATAATGTAAAGCTAAAAAATATCACCTCTTTATTTAAAATATTTTTTATAATATTAATTTTAAAAAATATTAAATAAATATTAAATTTTAATTTTATTAAAAATGAATAAACATTATTAACTGTTGTTAAAAAATAATAATTAATGAATAATAATTCATTTGATCCCTCAATTGTAATTAAAAGTTTATTTTAGTCAAGTTTATGATTGTTAAACAGTCGTAGGAGTGGAAATCTACAGAAATCGAATGAAAATTCGATCGTACAAAGTAAATAACTCAAAATTGTCTAACTGTTGTCTAAATATCAACTCAATTGTACCACGAATAAACATCCGATCAAAGAGTTGATATTTTCTGCTCAATCTTCACAAAAACTGTTTTTCTCATAATTTTCTCTCGCATATGAGCTCCTTTCTTTTTCAATTCTTTTTTGTTGAATATAGTTGCATATGTGCATACAAAAAAAATCAAAAGTAGAGTGACTTTTATTACAAAAGTCAATTGTAATTAAAAGTTTATTTTAATATTTTTTATATTTTTAAACAATTAATTTTAAAAATCAATAAATTTTTCAAAAATATATGAAATTTATAATTTTTTAAATTATAAAATTTTCATTATCATCATTTTGTAAAAGAAATAACAGTTATAAAACTTTTATAAAATTATTCATATTTTAAAATACTTTTAAATATTCTTTTACAAATTATTTTATAACTCGACAAATTTTGATTTTTGTATGAAATTACACAATACATATATTCTTTTGCATGAATGTTATAAAAAGAAAGGAGCTCATACGCGAGAGAAAATGATAATACAAAACAGTTTTTGTGAAGATTGAGCAGAAAAGATTAACTCTTTGATCGGATGTTTATTCGTGGTACAATTGAGTTGATATTTAGACAACAATTAGAAAATTTTGAGTTATTGACTTTGTACAATCAAATTTTCATTAAATCCCTGTAGCTTTTTACACCTACGACTGTTTAACAATCATAAACTTGACTTTAGGTTTTGAGAATAGAGTATTTTAAAATTAATTGTTTAAAAATATAAAAAATATTAAAATAAATTTTTAATTACAATTGAGGGATCAAATGAATTATTGTTAATTAATTATTATTTTTTAACAACAGTTAATAATGTTTATTTATTTTTAATAAAATTAAAATTTAATATTTATTTTATATTTTTTAAAATTAATATTAGAAAGAATATTTTAAATAAAGAAGTGATATTTTTTAGCTTTACATTATATTTTTATAGAATTTTATTCATTTTTATTATATTTTTTAAAAAAGTAAATAATAATTCATTTGATCTTTTAATTTTAGTTAAAAGTTTATTTTAATATTTTTAAACAATTAATTTTAAAAATCAATAAATATTATTAACTGATATTAAAAATAATATCACAAAAAAAAAATAGATAAAATTGGCGTTTTACAAAACTATTAGGTATCAGTTTATAATTATTTACAAAACTAACACCCAAGTTTTTTAAACGTTTAACAAGGCGTGTCTTATCTTACATGGCGCCAGATCAATATAAAACGCGGTACAGGGGGCGCCTTTCAACAAAGGATGTTAGATAAAAAATATAATCCGAATGATACCTGACCGGAAAATATAGGGGCTAGGCTGATTTTTCGGAAAATCACCTCTATTTCCGTTATTTTCTACCCTTAAATTAAATTACAGTTTCTTAGACTTTCCCGACTTTATTGTGTTTCAAGATGGCAACTTGGTTGTTTTCTTCGTAAGCTTAATTAATGAATTTGTACTAGAAATCCATTTACCTTTTTGGGACTTGAGCTGGCTGATGGCACAAGATTTTTGGTGAACGTGAGGTGGAGATTAGCGTGTTGGCATGTAACTAATGCTCTCTCATTACCCTTTTCATAAAATATAAGTTTATCAGAATGTATAAAATTCCAGAAATTTTTTCTGTATGAGTAAAATTTTTTATCTTTTTAAGGTGTGATATTTTTTTATTTAATTTTATGACGTTTTCGTCAGGTATTATTATCATTGTTGTTTCTCCTATTTATCCATCTATTCATCGAAAATTGTAATATAAAATCATTAATCAAAAGATTATTTTAATATTATTTGTCATAAAATTATTACTATCTTTCTAAAGGGTCTGTCTGATTAGATGTGCTTGTAATCATTTTTAAACCTCTTAATACCCCCTTTATTTAATGTTTAATTAATATCCTTCAATTCACCGAGACATGACACCTAACATCAAACTATTTACAAAGCAAAGCAACAGCAAGATTAAGTTGTTTGCATCGAACCCTATAACCATGGGAGAAATAGGACCTTGAAATCACTTAATCTATCTATATTATCCGTCCTTAGAGCATAATCAAGCTAATTTTTTAACCAAACGCACAAAATTTTAATGTAAAAACATTGTGTTGTTTCCATTGTCTCCTAAACAATGACAATTAATAGTGTAAGTATTTAGTTAGTTTCCTTTTATTTAACAAAATATGTAGCTTCTCTGTGGAATAGTTGCAAACCGTCAACAGCTAACTGTTGAAGACAAAATTGATACAGATTCAGAAGTACGTAATTACTTGTCTATGTTGAAAGTTAGCTTGTCCGACCTTCATGTTGATCCTCCACCTACATTGTTTTTAGTTTTGCTTTGATTGAGCTATGTTCCAATCTTGACTGCATGCTGTCATGGCAGTTAATCCAAAAGTCACTAGAGAACATCTCCAGGCATATGATTTCATGAACCTTTCACCTCTCTGGAGGTTGTGACCTCTGGTCATTACTAATAGATATATGTGATTTGTCAAAGTTAAAATTTATTATCAACAAACAGTGAGAGATTAATAAATATTTTTTAGAATAGATATACATATATTAATAATATAAATTTTTGTATGTGAGATGAGCACAAATAAAATTTTAAGATGAACACTATTAATAAAATAAATAAATAACAAAAAAAAATTAAATTTCAGTCAGAATACCATGTACAACCGCCACTATGACTAATTCTTTATTATTATCAACAAAATGCTTCATTATTTTAATTTTATTATTAGTCCGTCCTTTAATTTTGTTCTATAGTACTTGTAATGTATTCATGTTTGCTGCAAACAAACCTTTTTTGCTCCTATAACTTTGGCATTCAGATACAATAAAAAAAATCTTCCATCAATGGAAGATTTGTAGCTTCAACATGTGGATTTAAGTGTCACGGGTGAGCCTAGAACCGACCGTGGGCTCCACCAGCAATCCATTTGGAACTGTGCCCTCATCTGTAAATAGAATTCCCTCCGCAAATAATATATTTTTCCAGGAAACATTAATTATATCTTCAAACTTAAGCCATGTGGATCCAGACAGACAAGGTTGATTTATGTTTTCCCAGGACAAAACAACCTCAGGTTGCAATGGTCGACAATATTGACAATCCCCCCCCCCCCCCCAAACACACACATATAGGAAAATGATACGTACGATAATTTTAATATACGATTAAAAAAATATGTTATCGTTTTTATTATTATTTAAATAATAAAATCAATAAAAAGTTATCGGAAACATTATTATTTCTATCAGTTTTATTATTATTGGACGTTTTATCAGTTTTGTTATTTTTTCTATCAATTTTATTATTGTTGGGTACTTAACCCGAAATGTTAAAAAATATTGATGTTTTATGTAGAAATAATAATGTTTTAGATAATTTTTTTACCGATTTTATTATTTAAATAATAACAAAACCAGTAACACCTATTTTAATTGTATATCAAATATTATTTAAATAATAAAATCAGTAAAAAATTATCGGAAACATTATTATTTCTACCGGTTTTATTATTATTAAACGTTTTACCGATTTTGTTATTTTTTCTATCGATTTTATTATTGATGGGCACTTAACCGGAAATATTAAAAAATATTAATGTTTCAAATAAAAATAATAATATATTAGATAATTTTTTTTTACTAATTTTATTATTTAAATAATAACAAAATCAATAACACTTATTTTAATTATATATCAAATATGTCACACTATAAAACTTCTCATATATACTTCTCATATATAATATATGTAAGCATTTTGAAAACTTGGAAGTGCTCTTCTCGAGGCAAGCTTGACTGACAATATTTAGCTTTATTCCCTATAGACAGATACGATTCAATATATGAGAAAATCATGATAATCTATTCCAAGCATAAAATGATTAGTTTCTTACGCTAGTTTATTCGTATGGCTGATGTATTGCTTCGG